GCCGCCCTATAAGGGCATAGTTGTCTTTGTACTGTTCTATTATTTTAGTATAAATGATAAGTGAAGGGAGCGGCCAAATCATTACTCTCTTTTCTTTCCAACTTCTCTTCTTCTCCTTCTCTCTTCCTTCTATTTTCAAGAAACTACTTTTCTTTTATATTTTTTAATTCAACAGATTCTACTCTTCCTTTATTGGGATTTTGGAAAACATGCAGTGATCCACAAAATTGAATCTATCTAAAAAAAAGTAATGGTCCCCATGTATTGAGAGGTTGGAACTTGTATAGTACTCTTGTGGTTTCCAGCGCAAGTTTTGATATTGTACCATGATGATAAGGGTATGTGTAGTGTATTTATGCATTCGGGAATCAGGGACCGTTGCTTGGTGCAATGGTAAAATTTTGGGCTAACAAGTGTGACAAGAGAGGTTGAAGTCTGAGAACGATAACCTTGCTAAACAAATGGCAAAGGTTAGGTCCTTATCCAGTCCACCTTTGATAACTGGGATCAAGATGGCCCTTTTTTGTGCATTTTGGGAATCTTAGGTTATGATCATTACTTTTCTATCTAATGCTTTCCTTGCAGTATCATAGGAAACATGCAGTCCATTTTCCTCATGGTGTCATATGATCATATTGTTATTTTTTGATTCTTGGTCTTCTGTCCATTTAAGACTAATGATCTCAACTACTAGGCTTTGTAGTTTGTACTGGTTGGGCTTAACCCAACCGGGCCCACCCTAATCCCAATTGGCTACAGCCCAACCTCAACTAGACGCACCCTAGTTTGCATGGACACCCCGCCTTTGGAGGGGACTCACAAGTTGACACCTGTCAATGAGTAGAATTATATCCAACTCTGCAAAATATGTGTTGGACTCAGCTACAATACAGATCAGTCAGATTTACCAAAATGCCTGCCGCATTGATTCTTCAAAGTTACAAATCCTCACTTTAAATGCTTCTATTGTAACAAAGGTCTAACCATTTAACCTGTCCAACGGGGGACTCTAGTATTTGTATTTTGCCAATTTATGCAATAACTTAATAACCATTCTTTATTGGACCTTTTCCAATGGGAAAACAATGACAATAACTAGTATGACCACATGGCAAACCTTTGGTTCCTTTGAGCTTAACTTGTCAATTGTAAATTGAAATCTAACTATTTTTTTGATAAAAAAATCAAAATTGAAATTTTACTATTTGAGTTGTTATACTTATATAGTTCTATGAATTTTAAGAAAAACATCAAAAATATAATAATTAATATATATGACAAAATTATTATTTATGTGAGACATGTCTAGGAATCTTACTTTCTTGGTTCACCAGGTTGGACTCCTGGACATGCATCAGATTCCAATTCCAATTCCGATCCCTGTGTCTGCATCCAGCAACACTGTCCACTTGTGAATAGAGTAGGATGGGGTGGTGTTAGGACATGAAGTGGGGTGTGATAAGAGGCTGGAAGAAAGAGAATTAAAAAAGTAATGGGAAAAACACTTGGAATGCATAGAGCATGGTAATCTAAGAATGTGAATATGTGATACATCATGACCTGAAGCAAACCTGAACCATCACAGATTGATGTTTTACATTCACAACAGGACACTTGTTTAGGGGCATACCAAAACCTCTCCTACTTGGGCCAGGTGGGTTAGTTACAAAAACCCGTTCCACTGGGACCAAGCGGGGTTGTTGCTTGATTATCTCACTCTATTGGTATCTCTATTCAAGAGGTGGCATAGTTATCAAGGTGACGCCTAGGCGATAAGGCATTCTTGGAGGGCCACATCACCCAAATGCCTACATATTTATATGTAAGATACCAGACAATATTTTTATATTTTTATTTTATGTTATTAATAGTAGTATAATAGATATTATTAAACTAAATTATTCATATTGTGGGTTTATAGTATTAATATTATTATTCTTATACTAGTTTCTTCTTCTCAACCCTTATGTTTTGTATGTTTTATTTCCTTTCTTATTTTTCTTCACATAAATATGTTGATTTTCTATCTTTTGATGTGGGGTTTATACTTATTTCATGAGAATTATGGTAATTACTTAAAGACCACTACTTATTACTGAAAGTATGAAACCTATAGATCTACCCTACGATTTATATATTTTTTATTTTAAAAAACCCATCACCTAGGCGACAAGATGCCCTATCATTAGTAGAATGTAGTAGGGCGTCCATTGGGGAGAGTTGCTTCATGGTAGGAAATTCCATGCCTATTAATTTTCTATATGGTATACAAATAGATGCATATATGTGAATGTTAGATGCACATGCTACATTAAATTGTATCTACTACATTTGAATGTGTGCAAGCATGCAGTATCCATTTGTGGAGATGTTTCACTGTTAGACAGCCTTAAGAAAAGCTACTTGTTTGATGATATGTTTGATCTTCTTGTTATTATCTTTTGCAGTTCTTTGACAGAAGCATTTTGTATAGCTATATTGGAGGCTGCTAGTTGCGGATTGTTAACTGTCAGTACACGAGTAGGAGGTGTACCAGAAGTATGCACCCTGATGCTGTTTTTTCCCTCTGCCTTGTTCATTTGGTTACTGACTTCTATTGGTTCAGTTTATGGTCTATAGCTAACTGTAGACAAAGTTTGTGTGTCAAATTCCAAAACAGGCATGATTTCATTGTCATCCTTATGGACTTAAAGCATTCTATAGTTTAACCCTTTTCTTTTGGGGGCCCTGGTCAGGTTCTACCAGATGACATGATTGTCCTTGCAGAGCCAAGACCCAGTGATATGGTTAAGGCAATTAAGAAGGCAATACACATACTTCCAAAGATTGATCCACAAGTGATGCACCTTCGTGTAAGTAGTTTTTCAGGACAACAATAGGTCCCCCCCCTCTTTATTTTGACATGTATAGTGCTTAACTGTATTGTGTTTCTGCTGTCAGATGAAAAGTTTGTACAGTTGGCATGATGTTGCCAGGAGAACAGAAGTTGTATATGACCGTGCATTGAGATGCCCCACTGAGGATCTTTTAGAGCGCCTTTCACGGTATACTTCAATAGATAATCTTAATTAGATAAAAATAAAATTACAAGTTGAAGCAACAAGACATTGCAATTATGCGTATGCTACTATAAGGCCCCATTCTTTTGTTGGGAACAAGATGGGGAAATTTGGTCAAAGGGGAAGTTGACCAACTTCCCCACGTTTTTTAGAGAGAACTGTAGGGCCCACAGAAAATGCATTTTCCCTCAGATGAATTTTGGGCCACTTCCTCAGGTTAGTTTTACCCTTCTCCCAGGTGGGTAAATCACTTTCCCTTGGAGGAAAGAAGCTACCCAACGTGTAGTGGGACTAAAATGCTGCTACCAACATACAAAACCCAAGGGTAAAAATGGTAACAGAGGGAAAACACTTTCCAACAAAAGAACACAAGTAAAAGAACAAGGCCTAGTACAAATTTACTCTTGTCCACCCGAACCCAACCAGGATGGTAGAATATATACATCCCTACAATCCTAGTGCTAAATGTGGCAATGTCTTGCGCAATAACCAAACTTCTAGGTCTTTTATGGATGAACCCTCTAAACTGTCATTTAACCTATCAAACCTCATTTCATATTATTATTACGTGTTGAGGTTAATGGGCTGTGTCTTTTCAATTTAAACATTTTGCATTGTTTTGGTGGTTAAGAAAATGTTAAAGGCAGTGGTCCATGCAATGGACATTTCTTGGCAATTTAGTTCATTCCAATACTAGTTGTGACCAAGGTTCAAAGTACTGATACACCCCAATACGGTGGAAGGGGTGTATCGATACATTGAACCTTCTGCCTTTACATTTTCTTAGTTTCTTTTTTCAAAATCTCCTAAAACTATAATATTTTATATACTTTATTTATTAAAAGAACATTTCTAAGACTCCTTTAAATAGGTGCATCGAGAGAGTCAAAAGATATGATACAACAAACCTGATACTTTGAACCTTGGTTGTGACTATCTCAACCAACATTTAGCTAGTCATTGATTAGATTTATGGATCACTAGGAAATTCTAGATGTGATGCAGAGCATAGTTTTGAAGAAATGATGGGTGGTTGCACTTAGATTTTCAATTTCAATTAGGCAATACGGAACATCTCTACCCTTTGTATTTGTATTAGTTAATTTAGCTCATAACCAATTAAAACTGTATATCTTGATTTCTAGGGAAGACTAGCAGCAAATATGTAAGAAAGTGTTAGATGTTACTGAGATGGATGAACTTTCAACTGAAGAAAGCTGGCTACAAGAGAATAGTTACAAACTTCTCATCTGATGTGAAGGTTTGAAAAGAGGGTGTTGTTCTAATGAGGGAAAAATGCATAGAGGAGGGTTCGCCAAAAATCGTCGAAAAGGTCCGAAAAGGTGGGAAACTGATAATTGGTACAAGAGGGGAGGGTGGATTCAAGAGTAAGAAAGGAGTTTCCTTACAGCAAAGCAGCGGCAGCAGGAGCATGGCCGGAGTTTGGGTATTCAGACCTGATGAAAGTCGATGGTCATTGGGTTGTTAATACGGAGTAGGCGAGAGTAGAGGCAAGAAGACACTTCCTGCAAAATTGTTTGGTCGGAAGATTTCCAAAGGGGACAAATTTTTCACAAGTAGATCTTTGGGTTACTAAGATGTGGAGAGAAGTGGGAGGGGTAAGTGTGAAAAATCTGGTGGATGATCTTTTTCTCTTTATCCTTCCCTCTAGATCTGAAGCAGCGTGGGTCCTCAGAAATGGGTCGTGGTCATTTTGGAGATCTTGTGTGCTATTGGACTGGTGGGGTGCAAGTGTGGGGTGTTTTTACCCTAAAGTGGAAGATGATCAGGAACCTGGTGAAACGTCTTGGATTCGGGGATGTTTGAAGACTTGTCACTATTCAATCCTGGTGAATGGAACTGTAGTTGATCACTTACCAGCGTTGAGAGGGATTAGGCAGGGTAACCCTCTTTCCCCCTTTTTTTTACCTTGGTAGCCAATGTCCTGGAGAGACTAATCCAAAAAGCAGATTCTAGAGGGATGGCAAAAGGATGGAGAGTGGGAAGGGATAGTGTGCCTATCACACACTTGCAATTTGTTGATGACATAATTTTATTATGTGAAGGAGGTGATCTTAGCTGGGTGGGAAATATGCATTTTTTTTCTTTGATCTGTAATAAGAAACTTTATTAATGATATGAAACTATGTGAAACAATAGGTACAAAGGGGGGAGGTAAAATGTCTTAACTCCTCACCAGAAAAATACATTGGAAGAAAGTCAAAAGTTAGCCCAAAATAAAGATTCCCTATTCACCCCTTGCTTGGCTAACCCATCAGCAACTGAGTTAGCAGTCCTCTTCACCAGCTGTAATGCAACACAATATCCCTACTCAGCCATTTGAATTTTTTCTTCTCATTGTTATAACTCCACAAACCGCTGTCTTCTTCCTTTAGCCACCTAATCACCACCTCTGAGTCACCTTCAAGGACCAAACATCTAATGTTCAAATCTCTTGCTCTTTGGATACCTTCCAGGGCTGCAAGAATTTAAGCCCTAAGAGAGTCTCCTCCAACTTTTTGAGCAAATGTCAAACCTAAAAATCAATTTTGGAAAGAGTTGTGGGTCGGAGTGAATATGGATGAAAGAGAAATGTCAGGCTGTGCAACTATCTTGGGTTGTGAAATATCAAATTGGCCCATGAGTTACTTGGGACTCCCCTTGGGAGACAATCCAAGAAATGTAAACTTTTGGAACCCGGTGGTGGACAGAGTATCAAAGAGATTAGCATCGTGGAAGAGGAATTACCTATCCTTGGGTAGGAGGATAACATTAATCAAATCAACCTTGGCCAATTTACCTATTTACTTCTTATCGGTGTTCAAAATTCCAGTTGGGGTTTCCAAGAGCCTAGAAAAAACAATTAGGGACTTTTTGTGGGAGCCCGGGGAGGAAAGAAAAGATCATGGTTAATTGGGAAATTGTAACCAAAAGTATGAACTCTGGAGGTCTAGGAATTGGTAATATTCAGAAAAGAAATGTGGCTTTGTTAGGGAAGTGGTTGTGGAGGCTACCAATAGAAAAGGAGAGGTTGTGGGCCAAGGTGATTGTCAGTATACATGGGTTGACGGTTGAAGGCTGGGATGCGGGAGTATTTGCTCGAGCTACCAGTGCCTCTCCATGGAAATCTATACATGGCCATGCCGTCCTTCCTTCATTCCTTCATCTTATCCAATATAATCTTTGTTCTGGGAATTTGGTAAAATTTTGGGAACACATGTAGGTGGGGGATTTATCTTTAAAAGATCGTTTCCCCTCTCTCTTTGCCTTGTCTGGTTACAAAAATGAACCAGTTTCCACCTTCCTCCATTCCCCGTTGAGGGTCTTGAGCTTACGTGGGATTTGGGTTTTAGAAGGGGAACTAGGGGCTCAGATCTAAACAGCCTTTTGTCTCTTCCGCATTTATTACAAGGCTTTGCTTGGACCTTTCAAAGTTGGATTTACGTATTTGGACTCCCTCCCCTTCTGGGCTTTTTTCTTGTGCCTCATTTTTCAATGTTTTAACTCTGGATTTTGATAATGTTGGGCAAACATTTCCAGTTAAGGAAATTTGGGGTAAATCAATTCCTCCTAGAATTGGGGCTTTCTGTTGGGAAGCCTATTTGGGATGGATTAACACTGGCGATCTCCTTCAAAGGAAGAAGCCTTTTTGGTCTTTATCTCCTAATTGGTGTGTTCTTTGTAAAGTTGATAGTGAGTCCCACTATCATTTATTAGTTTCCCGTTCTTTTGTGTCTTCTATTTGGGAATGGTTTTTCTCTTTGTATGGTTGCAGATGGACTCCCCCACCAGATGTTCAAGGTCTCTTTGACTCTGCTGTTGGCAGTTGGACAAAGAAGAGGGGAAAGGTGTTATGGAGAAGTACAAGGGCAGCAGTCTGTTGGACAGTTTGGGAGGAAAGGAATAACAGAATTTTTAACGACAAGGAAAGGTCTCAAGGGGCACTAATTGAACTAATCACCACAAGGGTGCTGCAATGGGTAAAATCTTTGAAGCTATTTGAAGATGTATCCACAACAACTTTGCTGAATAATTGGAAAGAAGTGGTTTGGTTAGCTCCCAAGAAGAATGTTCTTCGTCCATTATGGAATGTTCCAACTCATAGGTTTTTAAAGCTAAACTTTGATGGTAGCAGCGAAGGAAACCCTGGCCCTTCAGACATTGGAGGGGTCTTTAGGAATGAGGAGGGTGAGATTATTGCTATGTTCTCAGGTCCAATTGGGGAAGGAGACTCTCTCTGATTCTAGCTGTTTTAGAAGGTGTCAAAAAGGCAAAGGAGCTCAACTTAAGAGGTTAATTATTGAGGGAGACTTGAAACTGTTAATAGATTGGTTGCAGAAAGAGGAAAGCAGAATGTGGAATTACCTAAACAAGAAGAGATTCTTTAAATGGTGGACCCGAGACATGACAGTGAGGCTTCAATGGGTAAAGAGGAGCGCTAATTCATTTGCAGATGTACTAGCTAAACAAGGGGTGGGAAGAAATCAATTGTTCTGGGCTTACATGTAATCTCTATATTTTAATTTTGGGGGAGTTAAGAGAGTTTATCTCCCCTGCCTTGTACCTATCCTTTTATCATTAATGAGTTGATTCTGTTACTGATAAAAAAAAAAAAAGATTGATGAATATGTTTGCTGAGTTTATGAACAGTTTTGATCTGATGGACTTAACTTTGGTTGGTGCTCAGTTTACTTGGTCCAATAATCAGGAGACTCCTGTTCTGGTTAGACCTACAGATTTCTTGTATCGTCAGGATGGGGTGACATTTTCCCAGAATTCAGACAAGTTGCTCTTGCAAGGCCTGTTTCAGACCACTGTCCTATTCAACTGATCTGTGGCCCTCAAGAAAAGAAAAAGATTCCCTTTAAATTTGAAAATGCCTGGTATGAAGAAGAGGGTTTCATTCCATTGCTAAAAGGGGCCTGGAATGAGTGCCAAGTGACTGGGTCGAGTTCCCATAGATTGGCAAAAAAAACTGGGGGCAATTAAAGAGAAGGTCAAAGTATGGAAGCTGGAAAACAAGCTGTCTCTGGAGACAGAAAAAAAGGCCTGTTTAAGCTTAATTGAGGAAATTGATAGAGCAGAAGAGGTGGGTCCCATTTCTCAAGATATGAGGCTGAAGAGAGATATGGCAAAGGCAACCTATGATAAAATTGCCTACAAGTATGAGATAAGTTGGAGGCAGAGGGCCAAAACCGCATGGCTGAAGGTAGGGGATAGGAACACAAGTTTTTTTCATAAAATGGCAAATGTTCGATCTAGATTCAATGAGATCAGCAAACTAGAATGTGAAGGAAAAATAAGAGAAACAGATGCAGATATCAAGGCCATTGCTACAGCCTTTTATAAAAACTTATATAAAGAGCCTTGGACTTTTAGACCTCTTCCTTTGCATACTCCTTTCAAGAGACTGTCAGATGAGCAGAGTTCCTTCTTAGAAAGACCTTTCACTGAGGAGGAGATTAAGGAAGCAATCTGAAGTCTGGAGTCAGAGAAGTCTCCTGGACCAGATGGTTTGACTAATATGTTCTACTTGAAATGCTGGGATTTTATAAAGCAAGATCTGCTGAATGTGTTTCAGAACTTTCACAGATCAGCATCCCTACAGAGAAGCCTAAATAATACTTTTATTTCTCTCATTCCTAAGAAAGTTCTATCAAGTGTAATTTCCAAGAATCAGTGTGCTTTTGTCCCTGGCAGACAAACGTTGGACAGTGTCTTGATTGCAAACGAGTTGATTGACTCTAGAAGGAGGGATGGAAAACCTGGTCTGATATGTAAACTGGATATTGAGAAGGCTTGTAACCATGTCAACTGGAGATGTTTGGGTTGTCTTGGCAAGGATGAATTTTGGTCAAAAGTGGAGGAACTGGATAAAGGTATGTGTCATCTCTCCAAAATTATCTGCCCTCATTAATGGACGTGGCGGGCTTCTTTGCGAGCTCCAGAGGAATTAGACAGGGGGATCCGTTCTCTCCCTTACTTTTCGTTTGTCAGATGGAAGTGCTCACTCAATTCAGTAAGCTAGCTGCCTCTGAAGGTTTTTGGGATGGTTTTGAAATTTGCCCGAGAGGGGAAACGGTTCATATGCTTCAGTTTGCCGATGACACTCTTTGCTTTATTGACGTTGCAGCCAATCAGTTGGAAGTGATGCTTGGTATTCTTTGCTGGTTTGAAGTAGTGACTGGGCTGAAAGTAAATTTGGGAAAAAGAGTTGTCTTCCCAGTTGGCCAGGTTGATAACCTGGAATCCTTGGCTGAAGTGTTGGCTTGTCAGGTTAGCTATCTCCAAGGAAAATATCTGGGGCTCCCCCTTGGATCTAAATGTAATTCTGTGTCGATCTGGAACCTGTGATTGAAAGGATGGAAAGGAAGTTGGCTTCTTGGAAGGCCAAATACCTATCGGCTGGTGGTAGAGTGACACTTCAGAGGAATTTCCTTTGGAGGGGGTGGGAAGACGAAAAGAAAATTCATCTTGTGAAGTGGGACCAGGTGTGCTTGCCTCTAGAGGAAGGAGGCTTGGGTTTAAGGAAATTAAAAACTTTTAGTACTGCTCTTCTTAGTAAATAGTTGTGGAGGTTTGGAACTGAGAGGAATGCTTGGTGGAGGAGACTAATTGCATCTAAGTTTGGGGTGGATTGGGGTGATTGGATGTCTTTGGACCCTCTACAGAACTGGGGTTCTCTTTGGAAAGGAATTAATCTTTTGGTTTAGATTTCAAAATTGGTAGAGGGAACAGACAAGTTCTGGAAGGACCCTTGGTGCATGGAGACCCCTCTTGCAGAAGCCTTTCCCCTGCTTTATCGGTGTGCTGCAGACCAAGATATCTCAGTTTCTGATTCCTATGATTTAAGTGGTAATTCTATCTCCTGGAGTTCTTTATTTAGGAGAAATCTTTTCGACTGGGAGCTGGAACCATTTGTGGGGAGTTCATGCAAGTTCTACAAAGACAAAGCATCTCAGTCAATTTAGAGGATGAGTGGATTTAGAAGTGGAGTAAGGATGGCTTTTTCTCTGTTAAGTCTATGGCCTCTAAACTTAGTCAGATTGGGGCGGCTGACTTCCCAAGAAAACAGGTGTGGAATCCAATCTGCCCTTCCAAGGCAAACTTTCTAGTGTGGGTTTTGACTCTTAAAAAAGGTCTTTCAAGAGTCAATCTGGATAGGAGAGGGCTGTAGATCCCTGATCTGAATTGTGTGATGTGTGGATTAGCACCAGAGATAAGTGACCACCTCTTTCTCCACTGCCACTTTGCTACAAAGATTTGGGCTCATTTTCTTAAAGCTGCTGGGGTCGGCTGGGTCATGCCTAGTTCCATCGAGGACTTGCTCTACTGCTGGAAATTGATGGGCCTTAAGAGAAAAGGGAAGCTGATCTGGAGTACTATACCTACGGCTATTATTGTGACCATTTGGTCTGAGAGGAATAGTCACATTTTCTTTAACAGATAAAAAAATATAGATGACTTGATACAGATTTCTGTTTGTAAATTGCATCTTGGTTGTCAGTTAGACCTGAGTTTTAAGCATCAAAATGTATTTCATATGCTTCACTCTCAATCTGTCTGGAGTCTGTAACGAGCTCTCTTTTTCGAGGAGTTGTACCCTTCTCTTTATTTCAATAAATTCTTACCTTACCTTTCAAAAAAAAAGAAAGAAAGAAAGTGTCAGATGTTTACTAATTGCTAGCAGTACTTGATACATTTTTGTACAGGTACCTCACATGTGGTGCTTGGGCAGGCAAGATATTTTGTTTGGTCATGATCATTAATTTTTTATTATGGAAATTACTGCAACTATGGCAGGTAATTATTTATTTGTGTTTGTGTTAGCTCCATTCTTCTGTATCTTGCTGAGTAGGTTGGACTTGAACATGTTACCTCTTGGTTGCCATGCCATTTGCTAATCAACTGAATCATGGCTCCGTTCATGTCCATCCAAGTTATATTCATTGATTCACAATGGTTTTCATTGTATCTTCATTTCTCCATGGTAACTATCCTGTATTGCATTTTATTTTCTACCAGCCTTCAAAGGATATAGAGGAGGTACCTGATATTGCGCTTCTCCATGACCAACGTGAAACAACTCCATGGGATTCCGTTGAGGACTAAAGCAGTTGATTGTTCATAAATCTCCTTAAATGGAGTAATTCCTAATTTTGGTGATGCTGATCTTTCAGATCATTCAAGATTATGTTCTTTGTCGTACAGTTAAGGGATTCTCTTTGGTACCCTCAATCAGCTAAGCATGCTGGTCCAAACCAAGGAACTTACAGGGGATCAATTGACAATATGGAGGATTGACATCTCCAACTAAGTCATGATAGTTTACACAGTCTTGTCTTGTTTTTCATATCAGTTGAAGACTCTCGGATTCCTTTTTTCTTTGTTCATATACCAAAAATGTAAAGCAGTTCAATTGTAGAACTTGATGCATTACTATTTTTTTCAGAAAAATGAGAAGCATAAAGCCACATGGATATTGGAGTTGCCAAAACTGTAACTTGAATTATCAGCTTATTGTCCTTAGTTGTATATTCTTTGAGGGGAGGGGGTTTAGCAAAAGGAGGATATTACAATAAAAATCAATATTGATGCGTATCCTAACTCAGTTTTTTCTTTTTGGTAAATAGGTGATTAAGCATCAGTGAATTCCTTGGTTTTCTTTTTTTTTTCTTTTTTGTCAACGAAGGACCATACAAAACAAACTTCTTTTGAGGAGATACTGTTCTCTCACCCCTTTTTTCAAGTGATTTTGCATCAGCATATCTTTTCTTGAGGATATATTAGATAAGCTGACATGGCATGCACCTAACTTGAAACTTCTCATCTATTTGTTGCTGCAATGCCTGGTGTTCCCGCTGAGAACTAATATTGAGGATTCCACTTTAGCTTAAATCAGACTTACTTAGGGAGAATGAAAACTGAATTCGGACTCAGAGAGAGAGGGGGGAATTAGAGTCAACTGTTACTCATTGGCCGGTTGCACACAACTGAGCAAATGAGGATGCTAAAAATATTTAACCCAATTTTAATTGCTGTTCAAGAAAAACAATTTTAATTGACTAAAAGATCCTATACAAGCATTATATGCACAAATTTAACAGAGCATTCTTCATCCTTGGTACAAGACATTCTTTATCATTTATAAATAATGTTATATTGAAAAATGTTAAAATATATGAAAGTAAAATAAATATATTATTTTGTTTAGGTAGAAAAGGTTATAAATGTAAAATAAAATTTAAAATTAATATTATGTAATAAAATATAAAAGTTGGCTTTGAAATAAATAATTGTATCCAAAAATTTATAAAGAAATTATAAATAAATTGAATTTGTTGTATATGTATGAATAAACTATAAGCAAATTAAGTAAATGGAATGTTTTATTTAGGTAAAGAAAGTTATAACCATGAAACAAACTAAAAAATAAAATTCCAAAAGCATATGATTAATTTTAAAACAAATATATATGAAATTAAATATAATAATTTGCTATGAAATAAATAAATTGTATCCACAGGTGGATAAGATGTTACAGATAATTTTAACATGTATGCATTGGTTATTTAGTTCAGATAGAGAAAGTTATAAATATAAAATAAACAATGAAATGGTATACGGGAATATATATCTATATATATATATATATATATATATATATATATATATATCACGTCAACTTGCTTCTCCTTGCTCTATTACCCCAACCCTGCATTCTCATTGACTCTCTCTCCTTTCCCCCTTTCCACTACTCCTAATTTCCCATCTCAGAACCCTCTCTCTTCGCTCCTCTCGCTTCCCATTGGGTTCTCCCCCCCCCGAAAAAAAAAAAAAAACCTCGCGTCTCTCAATTTCTATAACAACCTCGCTTCTCTCTTTAATTAGCTCAATATATGTTTTATCTTCTCCTTCACTTCTATCTCTAATTCCCCTCTATTCTCTCCACTTTCCCATAGAAAAAGGGTCATAATTTATTAAGATTTGCTTTTCCAAATGAAACAATATTTATATTTGTACACGTGATTTGAAGCAAAGAGAGGGGAAGAAGGAGAATTTGATATTTCCTATATATTCATGTCATCTTCCATTATTGTTAAATAATCTATTCTTAACTAATAATCTATTGTTTAGTAATCCATTAGTTATGAAAATTGTTAAAAATTTATGGAAAATATTCTACCAAAATTATGAAATGATTATTTCATAAATAATCCATTATTTAACAAATATTAAATAATTTAATAATCTACCAAAAAGTAATAAAAAATCCATTAAATTTCTACAAAATAGTTTATTGATAAAAGATATTACTAATTAACATAATTTACTACTTTCTATAAAATCAGTAATTATAGTTAATAATTATCAAATAATTTAGGGAAACTCTTTAACTAATAATCCATAATTATTTTTTAAATAAGTAATAAAAAATTAAGAAAATAATCTATGAAAAAAATATTCTCCAAAACTATTTAAATAATAATCCATTGTTATTCAACTAAATAATTATTAAAAAATAGGAAAATTAAATTAGGAAATTAATTTATCAAAAATTGTTTCATAATTATTTAAATAACAAACCATTATTATTATTTCAATAAATAATTATTCAATAATTTAGGAAAATTATTGTCTATCCACACCGATCTAAACCACTTGGTTGACTTCGACCATACCTGGTTTTACATTAATTAACAACAAATGGTCTACTTTTAATTAAAAATAATATAATTTACCATAATTAAATTATTTTACTATAATTACATTTACTTTGATTAATAGTAAATAATTTAGACTTAAAAATAAATAATTTACATTAATTTATTTTTATTGTAAATAATTAATTTACTATACATTACTAGAATTGTAAGGATGGCAATTTTCCCTATAAAACTAGGGCCCTACTCTTCTTTGCCCCAAATGGGGCAAATTTTCTCAAATCTTAAATGGGGGATAGGGCATAGACAGGGTGGGGATAGGGAACATATTTTTGCCCCAAATTAGGGATGTAGTTTGCATATAATTCCCTGAACCTGATGGTAAATTAGTAAAATATCTATAGATTTAATATTGATTTTTAAAATATCTCTAAGTTTTTCTCATATTCTTATAATCATAGGATCCTATAATTTCATTTATAAAATAGCCCCAAATTGTCATAATCCAATTCCTAAAATACCCCTAGATTCCCATAATCCTATTCGTAAAATATTCATAAATTATATTTTTTAGGTGGTTGCCTCAAGGTTGGGAAAATTTTGGGGATTCCCCTTCCACGATGAGGAATGGGTGCCTCACCCTAAACCTGCCCCGACACTAGGGTTGGGGTAGGGATGGAGCAGAGTGTCTTAACTTATAGGGGCAAGGGATAAGGAGGGGTGCCCCATCCCTTGCATCACATGGGCCCCCACTAGTGTGTGTGTGTGTGTGATCGATTATTAATATTAAATGAGTTGAAAAGAGGTAATGTTAATATATTCAATGCATTCAATTCTCTCTTATTAAATCCAACATTTAAGGAATTAACTTACATTCACCTTCATTGAATCATATATTTAAAACATTTTTGTTTCTTTTCATCATTAACTTCTATTAATTAAATCAATACATAATAAATTAATAATTTCAATAACATAAAAACTTATACTTTAAAATCTACCAAGAAAAAAAAATAGTGTTTTCATCTTGGTGGCGGTAAAAAACTTAAACCATTTTGGGTCAAATGGGCCAACCCATGCTACTACAATTAAATAATAAAATTCAAAAATAGATAAAATGTAAAAAATATATAAAAATTAAAAAAATGGCAACATTTTAGCATCACATATTTGACATATTAAACAACAATAAGCATGGTAAATAAGAAATATTTTTATTGATGATGGAAATGGAATGAAAATTTAAAACTATTATCTCATTAAATTCTATATTTAAGATATATTTTTTTTCATCATTAAACTCTAGTGATTAAAGCCATAACATTAATTTTAATAGTATAAAATAAATATTTTGAAAAGTAATTTGAAAACAAAACCATTTTCTTTCCTCCCGATGGTGGATAAGCAATTCAACCATTTGTGGTCAAATGGGTTAATAAATAGTGTCATGATTAAATAATAAGAAACTAAAACAAATGTTTTTTTAAATATATAATACAAAAAAAAATAATTGGGCATATCTCTAAATTTGTATATTCATTATACTAAACAAAAATAAGTATGAAACATAAGAAGTATTTTTATTAATGTTGAAAATGAAATTCCAAATTTAAACTCAACCTATAAACAAAATTATGTCATAGACAAATAAAATAATTTTAAAAAATTGAAAATGCAAAGAATCACAAAAATAAAAAAGAAAAAAATTTTGGGTACATATCTAATGTTATATATTTATAAAAAATAAAATATTGGATACATCTCTAATATAATACAATCATTATATTGAACAAAAATAAGTATTATACATAAGAAATAACTTTATCAATTGTGGAAATGTAATACAAAATTTAATGAAAGCAAACTATTTTATTTTTTGGGTGGTGGGTTAGTATTTGTGTCAAATAGATTAATCAATGACATGATAGTTAAATAATAAATCTTTAAAAAATTAAAAAGTACAAGTAATCAAAATAATAAATTAATTATGTCAAAAGAAATTAAGTGTGATAAGTAAAAAATATTTATATAGTGTAGATGAAATATATAATTTAAAACTGTTTCGAAAGCAAAGCTATTTTCTTATTTAGATGATGGGTCTGTCAATGGTTCAACTTTTCAAAAAAACACATGATGTCATAATTGAATAATAAATATTAAAAAAAGATAGAACACAAAAAATGAAAAAGTATAAAATTTTGTTAAAAACATTTGAGAACATTTCTATTGTTCTATACTCATCATATTAAATAAAATTAATTGTTAAAATAAAAATTCATGTTGTCACAATTAAATAATAAAATTCAGAAATAGATAAAATGCAAAGTGTATGATTAAAAAAATTGGAAACATTTTTAACATCCTTTATTTGTCATATTAAATAATAATAAGTGTGATAAATAAAAAAAAATTGAGGCAAGGCACATAGATTTTGCCTAGAGGCTTAAACCACGAAGCTTTGATGTGAAGCTTAAAGCTTTTGTTAGAATGAGGCTTAAGCCTTAAGACTCAAGGCGTGAATCTTAACCTAAGGTGTATTAATAATTACTTAGTAATTTAATAAAAAATAAGTATTTTTATAATTTAAAAGGAAATTGTCTAAAACTCATTGTGACTTTTCAACACTTCTCTTAAACTCACCATAACTTTTCAAAACGTTCGAAGAACCCCATGTTAGTGAGTTTTTGTTTTTAAAAACTCACCATCTATTAGAGCACTATTAGTATTCATCGACAAAAGTTGTCCATATCAGCATAAGTGCAATTCTCATGACCAAATTATCCCTGAATGGCTAATCGGTCTTAAACATATTTTTATGATTAAAATGCCCTTAAACACCTAACTGCCTTAAATATATAAGATTTCTATTCGCTGAGAGACATTTTGCTTTCATATCGTGCTCCTTGAAAGTAGTATTCAAAGTAAGTTTAAAAATGAGTTGGGTTGAATAATAACAAGGCATTTTTGGAATATTAAAAAATGTGTTGAATATACAAAAGGATAAAATGGTAATCTGCGAATGCCTATTAGTCTCTTTAACATTGGGTTCCTTGGACGTTTTGAAAAGTTATCATGAGTAGAGAGATGTTAAAAAATCATGATGAATGGGGGTCCTTCCGTTGGATGTTTGGTCAACCGGAACGGGAATGAGTAGGTGAAATTCTATTCCCCCATATGGGGGAATGTTCATTCCCGACCCCCTCCCCTGGATTGTGATTCCCATTCTGCTAGTTTCCTTTTTTTATCTTTTTGGATGTGCAATTCAGAAGGAAGATGTCGTGGGTAGACCAGGGTCTCCCCTTGGCAAGAACCTCCCAAAATCTGCCACTCATGCCTTCGTTGAGAACCTCAGAGTATTAGCACCCAAGGTGCTACCACTAAGGGAGCTGCTTCGATATGTTATAGTAACACGCCTCCTTCCTCAGCCCAAGAAGGACAGTGCATCTGTCGGCAAAAGCGGCGGTGTCAAAGCAAGAGTGAATTTCAAGACTGGGATCGACCATTTTTGCCTTCATACCGGCGGAAAGGCGGTTATCGATGGGGTGGCAAAGAGTTTGGGGCTGACGGAGTACGACTTGAAGCCAGCAAGGAGGCCAAGAAGAGGTGACAGGGTGATGATGATGATCAGCTTCGGGGGAGGATTCAAGTGCAACAACTGCCTTTTGGAGGTTGTTAGGGATTTGGAGGGTGATAACGTGTGGAAGGATTTTATTGCTAATTACCCTCCAAAAACCCTAGTCAGTCCGTTCATGAGCGAGTATGGGTGGATTAACAATGAGTCGGAGGAGACGCTTAAGAAGCGGTGGATAGCTACAAGCAAAATTTCTGAATTTGCTACTTTTTATTTTTATCAGGGGCAAAACTGAAAATCATGGCTGATTCCGATTCCAGTCTCTTGATGAATCAAACAATATCAATTGGAATCCGATTCTGATTTCTGTTTGAACCAAACAAATAGGGGAATAAACTATTCCAATTCTAATTTTAAGGGATTCTGATTCCGATTCCAATCACGAACCAAACGGACTCTAAAGTAATGATTGCCTAGTCCCAGTATAGAATAGGAATGCCAAGTAACTTATAGTCGAATGTGAGATCACATCTGCGCCCACTGAGCACACCCCACAACACATCCAAACCGTGCAACGGAGATGTTCTCAATGCACTTTTAGATATGCATGTGAGGTGCGCAGTATGGGGCATAGATTCATCGAACATCTCCGAGTGATAAGTACAGGACACGTGTGTGGGGACTTCGGTTTCAGTTCAGGCACGCAAATATACGCATTGTTCGCGCACCATGAGGACGCGCCACGCGTCTTTTAATTCGTGCATTGGTTTAATGCGTGCAAAATGAATTAAATGGAGTCTATCCTTCATGTCGTTAGCTTCTCATTAGTTTCATTCCACATTTTCCACTTCCTTCTCGAGACTCACCGGACTCTACCGTCGCCAGTCACCCTCACTCTCTCCCGGTTGGACTGGCGGTGATTAACAGCCATAACCGGCGACCCCCTCAGGTATTTTGGACTCTACCCTAATAGAAGTCGGACTGTTATCACCGGAGATCGATAGAAGCCGAACTCCTGTCAACGGTAATCATTCAGATTCGCCTACCCTTGCGGATTCTATGGACAAAGGAGTCTGATGAGAGAAGAGGTGGCCATTGGAAACAAGAAGAAGTGGAGGTGTCATCATCATTGTCTCATGTTTCTCACTCTGCCGCTTGGGGAGTCGGTTTCAACCTTCAATATGGAGAATGTCGTCTGCAGCCACGGACTATTCATGGTGGCGCTGAACCAGTGCGACCCATGACTAAGACCTATCTTCCAGCGCCCATTGAGAGTCTCTGATGAAACCACTTCCATCCTCGCCTGCATCTCCCATCCCCCCAATTCCCCTTCTCTCCATGTCCGCGTTCTCGGCACCACTTCCCTCTCTCCCGATGATCAAGAAGTTCTGCCGGTACTCAACTATCTACCTACTACCAGGGCTATCAATTGGACGGTTTTGGGTTGGACCCAAACCGATTCAAATCTTATCAAATCGGTTTTGGATAATCCATTATTCTTATTGGGTTGGGCCAACCCAAAATAAAACCGTCCGTATTATTATTGGTTTGAGTCGGTCTAAAACCAAAATCCGTTGAATTATCATCTCGCCAAAGTTCAAACCCTACAGATTTCATTCAAAGCCAAAATCGAAAACTGACCTTGAAACTCAAAGCAACCTTCGAACTCAGTTCTGATCTTCATTCTTTTTCTCCCCTGTTAGTTCTTTTCTCTTCTTCCTCTCCCTCTCTATCCTTCTCTGTCGTCGTCCCTCTCCCTCTCTATCCTTTGCTGCCGTCGTTTCTTCTCATCTTCTCATCAGCCATCGTCGTCATCCAAGACGAACCGATAGAAACCAAAGAAGCCTCCCCTGTTGCATTGACAGACCTCAGGCGAAAATTCCGAACCAGGTAAGCTATTGCATGTCTTGTAATCCTTTTATTCTCTATATTGGATTGCCGGACTGGTTTCACTGTCACTGGTGTGGTTCATGGTCATGTACTCATGTCATGGCCCATGGGTTATGTATCTTATTCTTCTTAGTTGAATTTGGATATGTTCAGATATGTTCGAATTTGTTTGCATTTTCTCAGTTGTAAATGCTTTTCTCTAATGGCTTCTCAAAGGCTCTAACGGGATCATTTTCCAAAGGCTTCTACACCTCTAGCTATAACCCTTGAATCCACGAACTTGACCTCCATTTTTTCTTTTTGGCTTAATTGGTAACTCCGTTTCCTTTAGGATTTTTTACCTGTTGCTTTTGCTGAGATGTAGATCCCTGTCAGACTACTGCTGAGATGTAGATCCATTCAGACCTATCAGTCACCATGGCTTAGTTGGTAACTTTACCGGTGCACATCATTCCTTGATTGATGCCCGAATCGAGAAATTCAAATGGTGAGGACTGAGGAGAAATATGAGAGAAATTTGTGAAAATAATGCTTGAATTCTCAGTGGACTGATGTGGACGTGGCTCTAGTGTTTTCTTTGTTTGTGAGTGATATTTCTAATGGGGTTGGAGAATGATGGCTCATGTTGGATGTTTGACGGGCTAAAGAGGGCATTGAAGTTGACTTTTCAACCATTGGGGTCTGAAAGTGGGCCCTCTGGTCTCCTCTTCCACACAACACTTATAATCCTGCCAAGCTTGGGGGTTCCCTCTGAAAGGAAATAGAACAAAACAACAAGCACCAACAGCACAGTTGATGCTGGACCTTTGGAGCAATTTTTTCATAGGACAGATTTCATCCAGCAGAGTGACATTTCAGCATCATCCATATGTAACCCTCGAATTATTCATAAAACACATAGGCCTGAAGTTAGAAGATATCCGCTGTAAATATGGTTAATTTCTACAAGCCTATAAGTGTAGCTAGGATGATCAGGACAACTCAGTTGTCTTGACATCCATTCACAGTGATTGATGAGTATGTGTAGCCAATTTCCATTCCAAGTTTAGAAAAGAGAAATGAAGGAAGAAAATGGAGGTGGTGGTGTTAGCAGGGTAGGGTGCTATTAGCATGTTGGAGTGGTGAAGTGGATGGGTGGTTAATTAATGTCCATATATAGTCTGAGAGAGAGAGAGAGAGAAGGAAAATCCAGCACAAGAATTATGGAACAAGGTAGCCGCCACAGTCATAGATAGCCTTTATCTTTATTGGACTTTGATGTGTAAACTTGTGATATTTTTGTTTATCTCGAGATTCGTTCATCTTCTTCCTTGGATCATTGGATGTCTGTGTCATGTTTACAGATATACTGTGACTGTAGAGCAGAATATTGATTAGGTCAAGCAGGGATAGCTAGCTAGAGGTGGGGACTGGGGAACTGGCCGGGGATGCCATGATCATCATCATGGATTTGGGGGCATTTTGATTGAGAGAGGTTAATTAGGAAGGGGAATCAGTTCAGGTAAAACAGAGGTGTTCAAATTGAATTGTTTTGGGTATAGGTAAGATCCAAATGGATACTTCATATCTTAAGTGTCTTATCCAAACGTAAGACATTCACTTGAAGGTAACAGATTTTTTTTTTTTTCTGTTATCTTGTCACAAAATTCATTTAGATACTACACTATATATTCTTGAATCTCCAAATTATTCTTCCCAAAAGATTTTATTATTCTAATTGTTTCAATGATAGGATTTGCATATCAGTATTTTTCCCAAAATAAATGCCTTCTCTTCTTTCCTTTGTTTTTTCTTTGAGTAAAAAGAATAGTGCTTTAAGGCTCCAATTGGTTTACCAGTAAATAGGAAACAGGAAGTTGGGAGAAAGTTCTTTAAGTAATTCTGTGGAATTCCCAAGGAAAAGTTCGTAGCCAATTTTGTGAAATTTCGTAATCCTCAACTTTATACTTCTCTCTCTCATTTTCTATCAAACCAAACACAGCCTAAAGGAAATTTAGTTTGTTCTTAACCTCAAAACAGGTCAATTGTGAATAAATCAAGGTTATTTTGGTTTCTTTTGAAGATGGATGCACATAAAGTAGTGTTGTTTCTTCTATTATGTTTAACAATGTTTCAATGAGATTGTTGACGTGAAGTTGACTAACAAATGAGTTCGTTTGGATGGAATATAGTTGCTTGGTTGTAATTCTAAATATGGAATTTGTAGTGGACCAATACCATTCTAGTTCGTTCTTGACCTCAGACCAATACATGTCAGCTGTGAATAAATCAAGGTTATCTGGGTTTCTTCTGAAGATGGATGCATCATTTTTTTTCATGGATTTCAAGGTTAAGTGCATTACAATTACCATTTGATGATGTGCTTGCTGTTGATGGTTGGAAATGACAGGTGCTGGAATGTGGAATGTGGACCAGGATCTAGAGCTGGGGGCGCATAACCATCGGAACATGCCATTAGTATTCTTTTATATGGAAAATGCTACATCAACTTCCTTCGGGTGGTTTGGATAACGGTTTATGTGGTTTCAGAATTTTTATTCTCTGGTTGCAGTTGTTCATCCATCCTCTTGATGGTATTTGATCAAATGGAGATGGAATTTTTTGGTTGATACAGTAATTTCTTTGAAAAGAATGTTGATTAGATACAATAATTTCTACCTGGAATATATGGTTGATACAGTAATTTTTAATTTTTTATATTTTTGTGATAAAATTTAATATATTTCTATAACTTTTTCACATTTTCTGGGTTTTCAAGTATTTTTTGAATAATCATTTAGTTTGGACCGGGTTGGACCCAATCAAATGGATTGGATCCAATCCAGTTTGTATATATAGGTTTGGATTGGATTTGGTCCAGTCCATTTGTAAATGGACCAACGTTGGATCGGATTGGACTGGACCAAATCCAGTCCGGTTGACACCCCTACCTACTACTTGTCATGTTGCCCTTCCTTCTCTTCCTTAGCGTGTGATCGTTAATTTCAGGCTCGGGTAGCGCGAATGCTGTGATTGTCGGACAATGATGAAAGGAAGGGAGGTCCACAAGATCCACCATGAAGCCAAGGAAAGGGGTTTTGGCGGAAATCACAGAAATCTACGATGATAATAGAAACACATAAACGAAGTTTCAGTCAAACCTGAAATCACTGAAATCTATGATGATAATAGAAACAAAGTTACAACAAAAAGTTAAATAACAATAGTAATTCACTACAGGGACGAAATCATAAAAAGAATTTCACAAAGATGAAAATAACGAGGTAAAAAAATTCACGAATGAAATGGAGTTACAAAATAAGGAATGAATATTTAAATGAAAATAATAGGTAATGCCAACAACACCCAGTTTAAATGATGGAGTGAAACCGACGGCGACCAAGTAGTAGAGTGAGAAATCACGAGACAACACGATGAAACCTCTACTTCTTGTCGGCAGTGGCTATCTCTTGTCTCGTCGGAATTCCTTCTTCATAGAATCCTCCATTCTTGTTGATGGTTTGATTGGTCAATTACATGAGAAATTGTACTTGCACACTTAATTTAAAAATTAACTTTTCTCTTACAAAACTCAGTTTTGAATTTGTTCCACATTGGAAAATTATAAGTTTTGTTTTTAGTATTTAAAGAAGCTGATTTACGCTCATTAAAAATAGTAGAAGATAGTATGGGGGTTTGATACTGCGCAATGCGTGCGCGCGTGTGTGCAGCGCAATGAGGCGCTTTAGAGGTGCACTTTGTTCGCACTCGTATGGCTTGCGAAGGGCGGCTTTAGTTTTGGTGCGATGCTGACCGTCGATCACTGTTGATGAGTTCAACGGTTACGATTCGATTGGGTGTGATCAAGAGGCACAATTCAAAGTTGTCATTAATTGTTAACTACTTTTTAAACAGTCACAATGTTTGAAATTGTGACTGTTCAAGGTGCTTTATCTGAACTAGCACCTACCTTTTCTTTATACCTCTTCATAAACTATTTAAGGAGAATGAATCAGACTTCAAAATACACATTTCAAAATTCACTTTCTCTCTCTCTCTCTCTCTCAGTCTGGTTTGCTACAGTTTCACAGAAGGTTTCTTCGTAGATTCTTCAACTTTGCTGGTTGCAGATTCTCGCTCAAGGCTCTGTTGTATCCTAGGAACGAATTTGCCTGTAACCCAACAGCAAACTCAGTGAAACTGAGTGGAGGCAAATAACGTTCTAATGACAGTGTCTTCAGACGCGCTTCAGAGCTTCTCCTCCAAAGTTACAGTGACCCCATTTTCCAACACTTGCTATTCTTGCTTGTTCAGCAAGGATAGGCGAATTTGAACTATGATTACCATTAAGAGGAGTTCGACTTCTATCAGTCATTGGTGATAACAGTCCAACTTCTATCATGGCAGAGTCCAAAATACTTGAGGTTGTTTTTAGGTTGTCGGTGTTAACAGTCACCGGTGATGATTGTTGGTCGCCGCTGGTTGGAGAGGGAGAGAGTGAGAGTGCCTAGTAAGGGTAAAGTTTGATGAATCTCGAGCGGGAAGTGGGATAGAATGAATGAGAAGCTAACGACATAAATGATAGACTCCGTTAATTCATTTCGCACACATTAAGCCAACACACGAATTAAAAAACATGTGGCATGTCCTCGTGCTACACGAACGGTCCACGTATACAGCATGCCTGAACTGAAGCGGAACTTGTGTGTGGGATGCAGATGTTGTTGGGAAATGGGGTCATTGTAACTTTGGAGGAGAAGCTTTGAGGCGCGTCTAAAGACAGTCTTTAGAACGTTATCACACCCGATCGAATCGTGACCGTTGATCTAATCAACAATCAGCATCGCACCAAAACCAAAGCCGTCCTTCATGAGCCACACGGGTGTGAGCAAAGTGCGCCTCATTGCGCCACACACGTGTGCACACGTGTTGCGCGGTATCAAATCTCCATACTCTCCTCTACTATTTCTAAGGAGTGTAAATCAGTTCCTATTAAAATAATGAAAACAAATCTTATAATTTTCCAATGTGATGGGACAAATTCAAAACTGGGTTTTGTAAGAGAAAAGCTAACTTTACAAACAAGTGTACAGGTGCAATTTCTCATGTAATTGACCAATCAAACCCATTGGATTTAATCTCTTATGAGATTAAAATCTAACAGATGTGATCTCTCAACCAATTGTGATCACATTTGCGCCCCAATCAGCATGCCCCACAACACATCCAATTTGTGCATTGAGTAAGGGTGCTCATGAACTGAATCATGGTCCTATTTTTGAAACCGAACCAGTATGACCAATTTTTTGAAAACTAATAACCGAAACCCAATCAAAGCTGATCAATTAATCGGTTCGATTAACCATTGGTTTGGTCCATTGATTTTTTTTTGTTTTTTGTATTTATTGTATATATTATAAGGATATAATAGAAATATATATAAAGTATTATATCCTAAATAATAAATAATATATTATATTATAAATATATCTATTTATATATAATGCATATTTATTAATTTATAATATATAATATATAGAAATATACATGTAATATATAAATGTATCTATACCGATCAATTTGATTAACCACCTATTTCTATATCGGTACCAACCTTTGGTTTTTTAAAATACCGAATCGAAACCCAACCGACCGATCGGTTAATCGGAAATTTCGGTTCGGTCCGATTCAGCATTCCAAACTTGGAGGGCGGAAAACCGGAAAAGTGTCCACGTCCAGAAACTTCTACAAATCCATTCTAGAGCCCTACTAAAATCCTAATTCAGCACTGCAGCTGGTGATAAACAATTTCTTTTCTACGGGTTTGTCGTTACGAGGGAGCTAAAATGCACAGGCTACCGAGGCGCTCCGTCGCTGCTATTCTGCGCAACGGCGGCGCACGACAACGAAGTGTAGCTGCTACTCTAAGTTCCTCGTCGACTTCATTCACCAACTCAGTAAGCCATGAACCCTAATTGATATTCTTTCCTGTTTGATATATCCCAAACTCAAGTATAATGTTGGATATCGATTCTTTTTTATCATTAACCGTGAATTTTATTAATGAAATGAAAGAAAAGCTTTTCAATCTCCGGATAGGATAAAGAGAAGACAGTACAAACCGATCTCAGCTGCTAAGACTATTTAGATCACACTTCAATTACAATGAATTACATAAATACCTGGTTCCGGTATTCCAAAAGAAGTTGGTCCCTGGTTACTCCTTGCAAGGGTAACTAGCTAATGCATTATCTGATCTAAGCATGCATTTGAAAGAGAAACATGAAACTTCTCTAACCATATTTGGAGCGCCCATGGGCCCTCCTCCATTGCAGTCCCCTCCCACAATGAGGTTCGACCATCTCATAGAGTCGAGTAGTGGACTAGTTTCAGTCCATGATAGAAGCACAATAGTCCCATCTTTGAAAGAGTTTCCAAACCCAATTGGTCCAGTGAAGCTCATAACATGTTAGAGTTTATGAAAGCTCTTGCGCACATGGCACTGCCTAACACACCGCTATGCCAGGATGACATGGGAATCTCACAGTGGACTGTTAGGCCATTGAAGGCCAACCATTGCCATGATTGTTGCAATAATCACCTTCTACCTTTCTGTTATGATTCACTCTAACAAACTTCACATTCTATATATGTAACCATTATGGTCAATAAATCTGTGAAATTTGTGGGCTTGTCAAGGCTGAGGATAAATTGGAGTAAAAGTGGAATTGTTGGGATTAACTGGGAAGAGGGGGAACTTTCAAGTTTTGCAGAGGGGCTGCCTGCAATCTACCTAGGATTACCTTTGTGGGGAAACCCGAGAACTGATGGTTTTTGGAAGCTGGTTTTAGAGAGGTTTGCTAAAAAACTAGCTCTATGGAAAATAAACTATATCTCTCCAGGAGGAAGAATAACCCTGATTAGAGCCACCCTAACAAACCTACCCATCTATTTCCTATCTACTTTCTGTGTGCTAACAAGGGTTGTGATGAGTCGCTGTCACCTCAGAAGTCTCTTCGAGGGAGACCCTTCCTCCTATGCAGAAATGAAGAGAGAGAGAGAGTAGATTCATTTGCCTGTTCATTCATTCGGCCAACCCATATTTATAATAGTTTTGGGTTACAAAATATCTTAACAAACTCCGTGCTCTAACGAACTCATGCAGAGGGACTAGCTGATGTGTTACTTGTTGCAGTTAGGTGCTGAAATGGCTTTCGTGTATTCTTCCTCAGGTAAGTGCGAGTGAGTGGAGGCTTGGGCCTCTGGGTTGGGTCTGGGCCTTGGTTCCCAAATCCCAACAGTTCTCCCTCCTTCAAGATGGGCCTTGTCCTCAAGGTCCAAATCTGGGAATTGATTTTTCAGCTGCCAATACGGTTCCCACGTGGAGTCATGGGGGGGAAGTCCAGTCCAGGTTACTAAGGCTTCTTGCACTATGTTCTTCCCGTGATGGACCCAATGGTAATCCAATATCTTGGCCGGTATGAGGGTAATGTTTCCATCTTCCGCAAATGTTGGGAGGTTGTTGCTAACTTTGGTTGGATCTCCCACGGACTTCTTAAGTAAGGAGATGTGAAAAACTGGGTGGAGACGAGCTGTCTTGGTCAGGTCCAGTCAGTAGGCAACATTGCCTATCTTCTCAATTATCTTGAACGGCCCAAAGTAGCGAGGAGAGAGCTTATGCCAGGCCCTTTTTGCTACAGAGGACTGTCGATAGGGTTGTAGCTTGAGGTAGACGTAGTCTCCCACCTGAAAGTCGACGGCCCTATGTTTTTTGTCATACTGCTTCTTCATGAGTTGTTAGCCTTGTATAAGTTCTCCTTTAGGAGGCTGAGCACCTCGTCTTGTGCCAACAACTGGGCTTCGACTTCTGCTACTACGGTTGAACCCATTTCATACGGAAGGATGTGTGGTGGTTCCCTTCCATACACTGCTTTGAATGGTGTCATGCCTGCTGCCGCCTGGAATGTGGTGTTGTACCAGTATTGGGCCCATGGGAGCCACTTCGTCCAATGTTTGGGCCTAGAGCCCACAAAACAACGTAGGTAAGTTTCCAAGCATCTATTCGACACTTCAGTTTGTCCGTCAGACTGAGGGTGATAGCTAGTAGATCGATGAAGCATTGCCCCCTGTAAATGGAAATATTCCTTCCAGAACTGACTGAGGAAAGCTGGATCCTGATCTGAGACGATCGATTTGGGGGTACTGTGGAGTCTTATCACTTCTTTGATGAAGGTTTCAGCTACTGAAGTTGCGGTGTAGGGATGTGATAGGGCGATGAAGTGTCTATACTTAGAGAGCCTGTCGACCACCACCATAATCACCGTCTTGCCCCCAGAGGGTGGAAGGCCAATGATGAAGTCCAGGGATATATCTTCCCAAATCTGTTATGGAATTGGGAGGGGTTGCAGGAGCCCAGGAGGGGATTGGGCCAAGTACTTTGTTGTTTGCATACTGTACACTGTGCTATGTGCTGCTCTACTGTCTTCTTCATGTTGAGCCAATAAAAATGTGATGAGAGCCTCTTATAAGTCCGAAAAATACCTGAATGTCCTCCCAATACTGAATCATGATAGAGCTCTAACAAGGCCTTCTGATGTGCCGAAGTAGGAGAAAGAACAAATCTCCCTTTAAAAAACAAGTCTGGTCTCTTCATGGTGTACCCCAGTGTAGAGGTGGGGTCTTGCAAATAGCTTTGCCGCACCTTTTCAAGGTTGGGGTCATTTCTGGCCTCCTCTCGCAAAGCTTTAAGTAGAAGGTAATGGGGCTGAGAGTGTACTAACAGCGACAACTCAGCTTTCCGTGACAATGCATTTGCAGCTCGGTTGGTGACTCCAAGCTTGTATTTGATAAAAAAATCAAAGCCCATTAACTTCATTACCCACTTTTGCTGATCTGGGGTGAGAGCTTTTTGGTCCAATATAAACTTTAAGCTTCTCTGATCAGTTCGGATTATGAACCTTCGACCTAACAAGTATGGTCGCCATTTATGGATTGCCAACACTATTGCCATAAGCTCCTTTGTATATGTTGACTGGTTCTGGGCTCCTGTTGAGAGGGCCTTGCTGAAATAAGATATGGGCCTTCCATTTTGCATGAGCACCGCTCCAACCCCCACACCTGATGCATCACATTCAACCACAAAGGTCTCTTCGAAATTTGGTAAGGTTAGGACTGGTGGGGTCATGGCCAGCTTGAGGGAATCAAAAGCCTTCTGGGCCTGCTCCGTCCAAACGAAGCAGTCTTTTTTGAGAAGCCCAGTTAGTGGGGCTGCTAGTGACCCATAATTACATATGAACCTCTGATGGTAGCCGGTAAGGCCCAAAAACCCGCGCAAGGCTTTAACTGTCTTGGGCGTGGGCCAGTCCTATATACAAATTATTTTTTCTGGGTCAGCCATGACCTGTCCAGCTGCAACCACATGGCCCAAATAATGGACTTCAGTCTGCCCAAAAACACACTTTGAAAGTTCGGCAAACAGTTGGTGCTGTTTCAGCAAGCTCAATGTTTGTTCCAAGTGTTGGAGGTGTGAATCCCAATCCTTGCTGTATACCAGAATGTCATCAAAGAAGACCAAAATAAAACACCGGAGGTAGGGCCTTAAGACATCATTCTTGATGGCCTGAAAGGTAGAAGCGGCGTTGGACAACCCAAACGGCATAACTAGGAACTCATAGTGTCCATCATGGGTTCTGATGGCTGTTTTGTATATATCTTCAGAGTGGACCCGGACTTGGTGATAGCCGGATCGGAGGTCCATTTTGGAGAAATACTTGGCTTACCCCAGCTCATCTAATAGCTCATCCATAACTGGAATCGGAAACTTATCCTTGACTGTGATATGGTTCTGGGCCCGATAGTATACACAAAAACGCCAGGACTCGTCTTTCTTTTAACAAGGTGTACTGGGGACAAGAACAGGCTTGTACTAGTCTGTATCCATCCCTTGTGCAGGAGCTCCTTCACGAGCCTCTCAATCTCAGTCTTTTGGAAGTGCGGGTATCTGTAGGGCTGCACATTGGTAGGGGCTGCCCCTGGAGTTAGGGGTATGCGGTGGTCTTGGAACTGATTTGGAGGAAGCTGGTCTGGGTCTCTAAAGACTTCTGGGAATTGGCCTATCACCCTTTGTTATCATGGTCTTTCTCAGATGGTTGGACCTCATTTTCTAGCCTTAGTAAAGGCCCAATAGGCACTGGGCCCATCTGCATCAGCAGCAGGTGTTCCTTTCCAAACCCCCCTTTTATCATGGAGTGTAGACCTTCCACTAGTGGGCCGGGTATCTCCTGACCTTGCAGATGGCAGCGGAGCTCATCACAATAGAAGTCCATGGTCATATGTCCCCAGTCACAAAGGACCGGGCTTAGTTGGCTCAGCCATTGTACACCCAACACTACATTTGCCCCGCTGAAATCCAATGGATGCAGGTCCACGATGAAAGTGTGGTCTTGGATTACCAGCTTTTCGTTTTTACAAATACTTTCACATTCAATGTGGTTACCATCCGCCACTCTAACAGCAAATGGAGAAGTGTAGAGAACTGTCATACCTAGTTGGCGAACCAATATTTGTGTTACAAAATTCAGTGTGCTCTAACGAACTCATGCAGAGGGACCAACTGACATGTTGCTTGTTGTAGTTAGGTGCTGAAACGGCTTGTGTGTGTTCTTCCTTAGGTAAGTCCGAGTGAGTGGAGGCCTGGGCCTATGGGTTTGGTTTGGGCCTTGGTTCCCAACAGGTTGCAAGACAGATAGAGAAATACATGAGGGATTTCATGTGGGAATTGGGAGATGAAAAGAATGATCACTTGGTTAAGTGGGAACAAATATGTAAGCCAAAGGAACTAGGGGGTCTAGGGTTAGGAAATATCACTCTCAAAAATACTGCTCTCTTGAATAAATGGCTTTGGAGCTTCCCCTTTGAAAGAGACAGGCTGTGTCACAAAGTTATAGCTATTATTCATTTTTTTTTTGATGAATGTTATAGCTATTATTCATGGTGTGGAAGGTAATGACTGGGATACTAAAACCAATCCTCATTCAGTTTCAGCTTCCTCTTGGAAAGCAATTCAAAAGGTATAGCCTTTATTCATTAGTTCTACATGTTTTGATTTGGGAAGGGGTGACAAAATTCTGTTTTGGGAAGACCTTTGGATAGGGGATTATCCTTTAAAAGATCAGTTCCCTGACCTTTTTGCCCTCTCTAATCGTAAAGGTGCACTTGTGTCCTCTTTGGGCATCCTCTCTCCTTCGGGAATCAACTGGTACTTGGGTTTTAGAAGAGGCCTAAGGGATATTAACCTTCTTAATATCTTGGAGACTTCTGTTTTGGACCCCTCTTAGAAGACTTTAGAATCTAGGTTCCCCCACTTGATGGACTCTTTACTTGTTCCTCTTTTTTCAAGTTATTAACCTTGCATACTTCACAAGGGGTGGACTTGTTGCTGAAAGAAGTGTGGTCTAGGTCTATCCCACTAAAAGTTCAAGCTTTTTGTTGGGAATATTTCCTTGGAAAGGTTGACACCTGTGATGTGTTGCAGAAAAGAATGCATTTTTGTTGTCTCTCTTCTCATATGTATTTTTTGTGTAGGAAAAGTGGAGAAACCCCACTCAACTTATTAATCTTCTGTTCCTTTCTTCGACATACCTGGGAATTTTGCTGTGATATTTTCGGCTGTAGTTGGATCCTTTCCCAAGAGGTGGTGGACATATGTAGGCCTAACTTCCTAAGGCAACCAAGAAAATAGGAAGGTTGATGTAGAAAATCACCAAGGCTGCAGCTATTTGGGTGGTTTGGGAGGAGAGGAACAACAAAACTTTTAATGGCAAAAGCGGAACTGTGGAGGAGGTAATAGAGACAATAAAAGTGAAGGTAGCATTCTGGATTAAAACTTTGGATTGCTTTTAGAGTTTCATGGTGACTGATATTCTAAGAGATTGGAAGGAGACAACACCTTATGGTAGAGACAAACAAAATAGAAATGGAATGGAAACCTCCACAAGGCAGTAAAGTAAAGCTGATTTATGATGGAAGCTCTATGGGTAAACCCAGTATGGATGGTATAGGTGGGGCAATAAGAAGTGTTGTTCATTCATTCATTCCAATAAAATATCTTCTTAAAAGGCAATTAAAGTTATAAAGTCATTGTCTTTTATGTGAGAAATAAGAATTTAAGACCCTGACATGGACTTGTTTGGGCTTACTTCGAGGGGCGTGGTACAAAGGTGACTCATAGAATCAAGAATGCAATATGCTTTACATCACATTAGCTACTTGAAGTAATGCAATTGAGGAAAAAAAGAGATTGTGGGTTTTACATGCTTGAAAATGCTTTATATGTTTTCTTTTATTTTTAAATTTTCATTTGAATACGCTTTACATGTTATGTTTATGTATTTTAATTTTAGATAATAGGTTTTTTAAAACATTTATTTTAAAATTTAAGTTTATATTTTTATTAATATTGTGTTTAATATTTATTGAATTTTTTGCATTTTTTTTAAAGTTTTGGCATTTTTTGAATTTTCTGACTTCTTTTTTTTTATTTTTAGCTTTTTTTATTTGTATTTTTGCACCTTGCTTCAAAAAGGTGCACGCCTCGCCTTGCGCCTTGTGCCTCAGGCACAAATTGTCCCTAGCGCTTTTAAAATACTGGTAAAAATTGTAGACATAGTGGAAACATTGTAAAATATGCAAAAATAAAGAATGATATTTTATGAAATGATAAAAGAAGCGTAGGCACACCTTTTTAAATCATTAAACAAAGCTAAGAAACTAAAGTTATAGACAAAAGAATATATTTTGAAGTTGTCTTGTAAACTTCAAGATTCAAAACTTCATGATAGAATGAGTTAAAACAAAATTTAAACTCATAGAAAATGCAAATGGTTCTAATAGATCAACCAAATAATCTATTACATAAACTAATATAGTAATATTTAATTTCATGTTTGAAATGAACACTGAACTAGCTCAAAGTGGTAATCATGTAAGTTAGGAGGGCAATAACATTGTTACTCCACATATCTACAATAATATTGCCATGAACTTATGTTATAGTCAATGTTCAGAGAATCGGGCCAGACATAATTGGAAAGGGGAGAGGTTTACGAGTTAGAGGTTCAACCATGGCCCAACTAGAGTCGAACCATAATAATGTGACATACATATATATACCATAGGACACATAAATAATTAAATACTATAAATAATATATTATATAAGTAATGTTATACTTGAATGTGGTGGATAGATGGCTAGTTCTTTAATTTTTAAAGTAATTGACCAGGGTTCAAACCCCCAACTCACATTTTCTTTGAAATACATGTTCATAATTAGAGATTTATAAATCAACACAAATAATGAAGTGGATTAATGTTAACAAGACAATATCAAAGGAAAAAAGTCATGGGTTTGAATCTTGCCATTTGCAATTTGAAAATTCTACACATTTGAGATCCAGGCGGTTTTAGGAATCCGGGACCAGTTCACCGGTTTTCTATTTAAACTGCATGATCATCTGGTTTTGGGCGTTTTTTACCTATTCTGGTTTCTAGGGTATGACCGAACCAGATATTGGCCTCGGTCATGGTTTAACCAGTCTGGTCGTCCAGTTTGGTCGTTATTGTTCACTGGGGAATCTGTTGATTCCAGTAAAATTTCGTGTCGCTACCCATGGAAGTGGAAATGGAAATATTTCATGGAAACCATCTCTTGTACATGAAGTTTCTGTACTTCTTTTATTAAATTTGTCATTTCTCAAATTCTGATGTCATATTTTATAGTTTTATGCCTGTCTCCAAGTGAATTCAGTGATGCACAATGTAATTCACTTACAAAACCAAGCCATTAAAATGATGCCTGTACTTCAATATGCATCATAATTAATTAATCATATAATGCCCAGACTAATAATGACGAATTGACTTCAAACATGTCTTTGTTGTTGGTAATACACTAGCCCTGTAATGCAACACCTTTGTACAATGTGTTTCTTTCTTTGAAATTTATCTCCAATCCACGAGAAACGTTTTGTATTTTCTTGTGACTGAATTTGATGATAGATGGGGTGCATTTTGCAAATTCTGGTCTGGGATTTGTTTGTTATGCTACCTTGAATTATTTCTGGATGTAAACTGATATTTCCTATGTGCTATCCATCCACCTCTTCTTTAGTCTCAAGATGGTGATTCTAGGCTCTCCCAATCATCAAGAAGATACTATTCAGTGATGATCTCAGGAAGACGGAACATTAATCATCCCACCCTGTTCAACCTAAGCAGTGGCCTGTTTTTGGGGAAGCAATATGAATCGACAGCAGCGGCATCTGTTGCCTCTGATCCTCCAGTTCAGAAATATGAGTACCAAGCAGAGGTATTCAGCCTGGACTGAAGGTTTAGTTTGTTTATCGTTTTTGTTGTTAAGCAAGGTTTATGTCATTATTTTTTTTGATATATTTCTCATTTGGATGCAGGTTAGTCGTCTCATGGACCTCATTGTTAACAGTTTGTATAGCAACAAAGAGGTCTTTTTTCGGGAGCTCATTAGGTATCCATGTACTGAATCAATTTTCACTTCCTTTGTTCAAAAGGCATTGCTTTCATAATATCTCTTGGCTTCTATCATTAGAAAAATGCTTGTGATTTATATAAAATAAATCTTAGCTTCCACAGATGCCCCATAATCCACATTGGAGGAATCTTTTGGAGGGCCTGGGAGCAACCAATTGAAAATGGTTCTGTTCTCTCCCAATTATTTCCATAATAACCAGTTTATAGTCTGAATTAACTCTTGGTGTGGCCGTGTGGGGTTGTGTGGTATTGATGAGTCCAGAGTAAGTAGTGCCTTCCTATAGAATGATCTCTACCAATTGGAGGTACCAATGCTGAGAGGCTTTCCCCCTATTTACCTTTTTCCTTTTTTCTCTTCTATCAGTAAAGAGATTCCTATTTTTTTTTATCAATAAAGAGATTCCTATTTTATTATTGATATTAATGGCTTATTGGCTTTCATAATTGACATATAATACATTGGCAATAGCAATGCAAGTGATGCCTTGGACAAGCTGCGTTTTCTGAGTGTTACAGATCCCGAGCTTTTGAAAGATGCAGTAGATCTTGATATCCGTGTCCAGACAGACAAAGACAATGGGACTATAACTATTACGTAAGTGTCATGAATCACAAGATATGGCTGGTTTCAGGGAGAACTGCCAGACTTAGATCTGGCATATATCATGGAAAAACTATATGAGTTGGTTTTGTTGTTTGTGCAGTGACACGGGTATTGGTATGACCCGGCAAGAGCTTGTTGACTGTCTTGGAACCATTGCACAAAGTGGAACTGCAAAGTTCTTGAAGGCAGTGAAGGTGTGCTTTATGGACAAACTAGTTTTGTCATTTTAAGGCCATGCAGTGGACTTAGATAATCTGAATGGATACAGGATAGTAAGGGTGCTGGTGCTGACAACAATTTAATAGGTCAATTTGGTGTTGGGTTTTACTCAGCATTCCTAGTTTCTGATCGAGTATGTCATCAACTAGTCTTGAAATTATCTCTTCATTCTCTCTCGTTTTTGTTGGTTGCTAATGATACTCTTGATATTCACAGGTTGTTGTTTCAACAAAGAGCCCAAAATCTGATAAGCAATATGTATGGGAAGGAAAAGCCAATGCTAGTTCTTATACAATTCGAGAGGAGACAGACCCAGAGAAACTCATTCCAAGAGGGACATGCCTTACACTATATATGAAGGTCATTAAGCACAGTTATTTGCTTCCATGTGCTCAGTGAAACTATTCCAGACCCCTTGTCCTGATTGCTAGCAGTTGTTTTCTCTGCCTGTTTACAGCGTGATGACAAAGGCTTTGCACATCCAGAAAGAATTCAGAAGCTTGTGAAGAACTATTCACAGTTTGTCTCGTTTCCTATATACACCTGGCAAGAAAAGGGATTTACTAAAGAGGTCTGTGTACATAGCCCTGTATTGGTGCACCACAAAATAGAAAATACTTATATTCTTATGCATCACTGATTTTGTCATCATTCTGAGCTCTGCCATGTGAAGGATTAAGTAGCTCCTATTGCAACTGATTGACCCACAGTTTGCTTGCATGAGAGTGAGTTGGACCAAGTTCAGCCATTTGTTGATCTGGGTCAACCTATGGGCCTCAGGCCCTCAGCAAGCCATGTTAAGGGGTTAAAAATCCTTGTTTTCTTCTTCATAACACTACTCCCCCTGCCCCCCATCTACACAATCTCTATCCATTCCCCAAACTCTTTCTCAAGCTCTTTCAAACTCCAATAGTACCTTGGGGTGCAAGTCGGGCCAGGTTAGGTTAGGTTGAGTTCAACAACCCCAACCCAACCTCACTTTTTTTTTTTTTTTTGGTTGGGTTCATGTCAGTGTGGTTTCTTCACTTTATTTTGATAAAAGATTCTTATTTCTTGGACTTAAGATTGGTGAATAAAGTTTTTTTGACATTAGTATTATTATATGTACAAGGATGAAGTTATGGTGCTTTATGAGTGCCATACTTAAACCAGACTATAAATTATTTTGCCTTAAATGTAAAGACATGTTGGGCCAGGATGACAAAAACTCTCAATGTTAGTTCTACCTAGTTCTCGTAAGGTTAATTCTGAACCCAAAGTGGCATAATTTGCCAGTTCAATGGCCCAACCATTGTATGGATTTGTTGCTTCTGCTTCTCTTGGTTTCAGAACTCTCCAATGTAAATGAGTTATTCTCTGTTGGATGTGAAAACATTAATTCTGTGCTCCTGATGCTGGGAAATCTCTAACAGGTTGAAGTTGATGAGGATCCAGCTGAAACTAAAAAAGATGGAGAAGATGGCAAGGATGAGGTAATTCATGGTCTTCCATTGTGTTGACTGTTTCTTTCTGTTGTGTTTTTGAGCTACCAAATTGAAGTTTGATGGTAACCCTTCTGATGCTTATGTTCTAACAGAAAAAGAAGAAAACGAAGACCATGGTTGAGAGGTATTGGGACTGGGAGCTCACCAATGAAACCCAGCCTATTTGGGTAAGCCTTAAAATAGATTCTCCTCTATTTATCAAAAAAAAAAAAAAACATAGCTTCTCCTCTGTTGACTGTCCCGGGTTTATCAGGGAACAATTCACATGTTTTCTGTGTTTGCAGCTACGCAACCCTAAGGAAGTCACTACAGAAGAGTACAATGAGTTCTACAAGAAGACTTTCAATGAGTACCTGGATCCTTTGGCATCTTCACATTTCACTACAGAGGTAATGATAATAATATAATACATGAGATAACTGGGAATAAATCCTAGAGGTTTCCTTAAAAATAACCATATAGGATACCCTTTCTAGATGACCAGAAATATTAAAATACTATTTCGTTTGCCTGGATTGTTTACTGAAATATTTTCTGTGACTTTGCAAGATTGGCTTGATAGTCGATATCTCTGTGTTTAAAAAACTCATTGGTTCTGCTCCAATGAGACAAGAATGAATGAGAAAAAAAGTTGAGATCTCTTGAGTTCTTCCTTTGCAAAAAGTTACTAAGAACTGGTGTCCCCACGAGAGAATTTTCTGCACAATTATTTTTCCTTTTTGAGATTCACAAATTGGCTAATTGCAGGGTGAAGTAGAGTTCAGATCTATTCTTTATGTGCCAGCTATCGCTCCCACAGGAAGAGATGATATTATTAATCCCAAGACAAAGAATATAAGGCTCTATGTGAAGCGAGTGTTTATTTCAGATGACTTTGATGGGGAGCTGGTAAGATGAATCAACAGGTCTTTTATGGTATTCCATCATTTAGAATGGAACATACTGCTCCTTTCTCTTCTTGCAAAAGAGAACTTTTAGTTCAAGTTATCTCACACCAGTTTCTATTGACTAGTTTCCTAGATATCTAAGCTTTGTGAAAGGTGTTGTGGATTCAAATGACCTTCCACTGAACGTCTCACGAGAAATTCTTCAAGAAAGTCGCATTGTAGGTGCATCCACCATACCTCAAATATCCTTCTGGGGAAACCTCTTAAGAAAGTTTTTGCTTATTATATGCCTAACAAAGTAAATCACGAAATTGACCTTGGCATCTTGCTTTTCATCTTGGTAGGTACGGATCATGAGGAAGCGATTGGTTCGAAAGGCTTTTGATATGATCTTGGGCATATCTATGAGTGAGAATAGAGAGGTATCTGTATCTTTTATTTTTTTTTCGATTTTATAGCTTGTGCTCTGTGCCTATTGTTTACTTGTATATTCTTTTACTCTAGGACTATGAGAAGTTCTGGGAGAATTTTGGCAAGAACCTGAAGTTGGGATGCATTGAAGATCGTGAAAACCACAAGCGTATTGCACCTTTGCTTCGATTCTTCTCTTCTCAGAGTGATGAAGAGATGATCAGTTTAGATGAGTATGTTGAGAACATGAAGCCTGAGCAGAAAGATATCTACTACATTGCAACAGATAGTCTGACAAGTGCAAGGAACACTCCTTTCCTAGAAAGGCTTTCTGAGAAAGATTTTGAAGTATATGCTTATCTTTGTCTGGACAATATTTTTGAGCTGATTTTTTATGCAGTCTTTCTACTGTTTTCTTTTATTTACGTTCTTGGGTATTGTTGCTCTAGGTTCTCTTCTTAATTGATCCCATTGACGAGGTTGCCATCCAAAACTTGAAATCCTACAAGGAAAAGAACTTTGTTGACATCAGCAAGGAGGACTTGGATTTAGGTTAGTACATTGAACACCCCACCCCCAAAAGAAAAAAAAAAAGAAAAAGAAAAACCCAAAAAAAAGGAAAAAAATAAGAAATAAAAAGAGAATACACACGAGCACACAAGAAGGAAATAAATGCCTCTTCAAAATCAAAGGCAGGGAGATGTCATTTACTGTCATTAGATCATGCTGATTAGCCAGAACTTGTAAATAAAAACAAAATGATCTAGTTGGTTAAATCTAGATATCTGATCTACCTAAGCTGTTGTGACAGGTGATAAGAATGAGAAGGAGAAGGAGATGAAGCAGGAGTTTGGTCAAACTTGTGAATGGATCAAGAAGCACTTGGGTGACAAAGTTTCTAGTGTTCAGATATCTAACCGCCTGAGCACATCACCGTGTGTTCTCGTTTCTGGGAAATTTGGCTGGTCTGCAAACATGGAGAGGTGAAAGCCTTCTTTTTCAGATCATAAATCTGGTAATGGGAACTCATGTCATGGCATGTTAGCTCACCCCTTAAATCTAATTTAAAATCTTTACAGGTTGATGAAGGCACAGGCAGTGGGAGACCCATCTAGCCTGGAGTTCATGAGAAGCAGGAGGGTGTTTGAGATCAATCCAGATCACCAAATCATCAAAGACTTGAATGTATGGTGAAATATAACAAAGTCAACTCTTTTCCTTATTTGATGATGTCAGTGTACCACTCTAAATGTTAAATGATTTTCTATGTAATGCAGGCTGCATACAAGAGTAGACCAGATGATGAAGATGCACTGAGAGCTATTGATCTTTTGTATGACACAGCCCTCATTTCTAGTGGTTTCACTGTGAGTATTCTGTTCTGTTTCCAGGTTTGCTACTTAAGGCTAGGGTAGTCATCCTTTAGTGGATGACCGTGTGGGTTGATTATTGCAGCACATGGGTCAGATTTGCAGTACTCACGATCCAACCACTGTTGGCCTTGTCCCGATAAATAAGTGCATCTTTTATTTTTTTAATTTTTTTTTAAAGTATGTGTTTATCTAGGTTTTGTTTATTGGGTTGCTCATAGATCCTTGGTAATATGCTCATTAATATCAATCATTTATGAACCCACGTGGCTTGGTACTTGGTAGAGCTTCCTCTCACTTGGTGGGTCATATAGCCAAGTCTTTTGCTTTTCATAGGAATATGGATGATGTATCTGATTGTTCTAGCTCTTTGTTATCTTAATTTTCAATGCAGCCTGAGAATCCAGCTCAGCTGGGTGGTAAGATATACGAGATGATGAGCTTGGCACTCTCTGGTAAATGGACTGCCCCAGCTACTGATAGCCAGCAGGGACGGATGAAGAACCCTGACACCATGGAGGCCGAGGTTGTTGAAACCCGTTGAAGCTGGTAGTGATAAAATGACGAAGAGCTAGTGGATTCCAATAATCCAATTTACTTTTCTTTTTATTTAAATTGTAGAGAAAGAAAAAGTAGTAATAGTTGTAGAGTTCATCGGTATATTTTAGGTGTATCCCGTGTTTTGCAACGAAAATATGTAATAGAAAGAGATTCATAAGAAATGAACACATTTATTGGAGACGCCAATTTGACAACCCAGTGCCGCGCTGATTATGCAATTTTCTGTTAGGATCGTGTTAAGATTTTTTTTCCTAATATTATTAGTATTAAAAAAATTGCTGCAATAAAAATATGGCAACGGTCTGCGCAAAGTGCGGGCCGTGCCGCCCTCCCCAGGGATAACTTGGGGGGTCGGCCCGTCATGGCCCACGGCCCAAGCCTGTGTCGTGCCGTGATGGGCCTGGGCTGAATCGGGCTGGCCATAAGTCGGGCATACGGTGTGGGCTGAATCGGGCTAGATTGGTATTTTATTTATTTTTTTGTTTTTTTGAAAATTTTGATTTTTTATTTCTTTTCTAAGTAGAATTGTAAAATAAAAACATTTAACTCTCCTTTGGCCTTTGGGAACTATTTGAAAAAATAAGAAATGAGAAATCAAACAAATAAATGAAAAATGGAATAAATTAATTAAATATAAAAAATATAATATAGTTACAAATTGAAAATACAAAATAATATTGTTAAAAATAGCAAATAAATTAAATAAAAGTAAAACAAAATTTATAATAATTTGAAAAAATGTTGTACAACTATGGTTCATGAATCACTTTCATCATTTGCTTCAGGTGAAATATCGGGTGTAGTGTCATACATCCTTTGTCTTGTAATTTGTCTTTAACATCTAGCCAATCTTTAAAGTAGATGCACATTTCTATACTTTCATCATTCATACAATTTCTCTTGCCATCCAACACCTTATTACCTGTACTAAAATAATAATCCGATGGAACTATAGACACCGGAGGGATTAGTAGATCACGTGCCATGGCGGCGAGAACTGAATAATTTTTTGAAGGTTCACTCCACTAAGCTATAATATCAAAATTATTTGTTCCCTCACCTAAAGAAGGAAATTTTGCTTGTAAATAAAAATTAAGTTCAGTAAATGAACTTGTTGTTGAGGTAGTAGATCTTTACTTTTTAATTATTAAATAAAAAAGTTTCTCTTTTATTACTAAACTCGAGTTCAGATTCAGAAGTGGAAGATGCAACTGTACAACTTGTAGAATTATTTCGTGTTACTTCAAATTCATATAATTCGTACATTTTAAATAATAAATTATTAATTTGTTCTTTTTTATTTCCAATTTCAATATTCATATTTTCACAATACCTTTCAAGTAAAATATCTAAACTATCTTTCCCAATCTTAGGATTTAATATTGTAGCTAAGCAATAAAGAGGAAAATGTTCTCTCAATATTTTTTAAATTTATTTTCCATTATTTCAACAATACTTTTAATGTGAATTATTTTTATATTTTGCAAAACAATCACTAATCACCATTAATTGATAAGGTAAATTACAAATAGTTGGATAATAGATACCCGATAATTCATTAGTTGCGTCATAAAAATGTTTTAAAAAAATCTCTTATATAAATTGCCATTTCCCAGTCTTCCTCAAATACAATATTGTTTATGAGAAATGCAACTTTCTAATATAGCATATGTAGAGTTTTATCCATGTTTAACATCTCATATAAAATGTTTATATTTTAAAACATAATTTTGACATAAATATTTAAATTTTTGTTTCTTGATCCAAAACTTTTAATATATAATACAATTTTTAATTTTAGAAATACGAGTAGAAATAATATTTAAAGTATCCTGAATACATAAATTAAGATGTGACATGCACATCTGATATGAAATAATTTACCATTTAAACATGGTTTTAATTGAGGTTTAAAATATTTATTGCAGAATCATTATTGCTAGTATTATCAAAACTAGTAGAAAATAATTTATTCTCAACTCCATAAGCATGTAAAGTATGTGGCCATTCAAGCCTAATAAAACTTAAAATTCTTTTATTTAAAAGCCAGTTTTCATCAATAAAATAACTGGTAATACAACTATAACTTATGTCAAATTTAGAAGTCCAAACATCAGAAGTAATTGCAACTTTAGAAATAAGATTTAATAACATATAAATTAAATTTTGTTTATATGAATAAAAAAATTTTAAAACATCTGATCTAATAGTTTTCCTAAAAACTTTTTTATATTACGGATTTATAGAATTACGTAACAATTTTTCAAGTTTAGTATCTTTAGCTGACAAAAATGGTTGTTCAGCATGTACAATGTATTTTTCTAATTCTTGCCTCGTTTTTTCTTGAGAATATTTAAATGTACCAGCCCCCTCCCCCAATTTGTATTTGTGTTGTTTCTCTCCATTCTTCTTCTTCTTCTTCTTATTTTTAATGGTTGAGCAAATGTTTGCCCAAATGGCCAGTGCCACTCTTGCTACAATCACTTTAAATATTTTTCAAACCAGGCTAACCAACTTAGTGGCATTTTTTTCTTTCAATATCATTAACATCCATATCGGTACTAACACTATCATGATACGATTGAATATTGTCAATAGTGAACATGTTGGGGAATTGGTTTTGGGAGGAACCAGCCATTTTTTTTTTAATTCTAACCAAAATACATAAATACACCTCCTATATAACTGTTTATAACTGTTGGGATATTTCTATAACCCCCCC